TCTCATAATCTCATAATCTGAGCTGACCTGTGACAATAAAACTGTCACAGGTTGGCTTAGTAGATCGGGAAGTGAGCGAACACATACCGTCACTCGCTCACTTCTCGATCTATCCCAGCAGAGAGCCGTGACTGTCACTCACGGCTCCCTGCAGGGATTCCCCCCTCCCCTGTCCGATCCTCCAGCGCTGACTGGAGGAACAGATGGGGGAGGGTACAGCTGGCTCTGCCTCTAGATAGGAAGAGCCAGCTGTCAATCCCGCAGCTGGGTGGATCCAGACAGTATTGTCGGGATCCGTCCCGGCTGCGGCGTCTCAGTATACTGCGAGCTGTAGCTCGCGGTATACTGAGCTTTGGGTCATGGAAAAACGCTAGTTTGTGTTCTCCCGTGGCCCTTAGTAGAGCTATGGGGAAAAGCCCTGACCCCATAGTTCTCCTTTAACCTCCGCTGTGTTCCAGTCCCTGACATTTCCTTAGAAGTAATTCCTATGAGTGGCGAACAAAATACTGGAATGTGACCAGACATTGAGCTGACCTTGTGGTACTTTCCGGACTTAGTCCCATGTCAGTTAACCACAGAGGTCTCCAGTTTGCAGAGCAGTGGAATAGTTTCCCTTAGCATTTCCCCTTCTTATCTACTAAACTGGCCACTTGCTTCCCCATAGAGGAATTCAACCTCTTCTGGTATTGCTTCCCTGCCTTGGTAGGTGAGCAATTTTTTTTCCCATGGGGACTGCAGGTTTTGCAGTCATAAACCCTACTTTAAAGTTCAACTGCACACTGTGTGGATCTTTGCAAAATCAAAAATATTTATTCATAATCTCCATAGCACACTGTGGTACAGAAATCCCATTAATCAGCCTCTAATGCGTTGCACCATCACAGCTTAGTCATAGAGGTATTTTGGTGAAGATCCACACAGTGTATGGTGGAACTTTAATGTGGAGATATTCGATGCAGCAGGAAGCCTCATTGTCCACCTGGGGAGAGATTGTGCTGCTAGTTGATCCAGGGAATTTGGGAGCGATGGTTTCTTCTTTGTTTGAATTGAACTTTGTAAACCCTGCTGTTTAAAACCGTATCACATGTTCTATAGGATACGTTTCTCTCAGCATCCCCCCTTCTCTTTTTACTGAGCAATTGGTCTCAGTATCGCTGCACTCTAGTGGTGCTTCTATCTCTTACAGTCTTCCGGAGCCTTCTACAAATGTCATTCCTTGGTATACACTAACTATAAGTTCTCATTATAGGAGTTTTAATTGTACCAAATGTTATCCCCTCTGTATGTAATAACACTATCCCATTTACTCCTTATATGATTGTGGGTTTTCACGAAATGCATTCTCACACTACACCAAGCACATGCCCCTTTTTTCTTTTCCTAGATTTTGGGCTACTCACAGTGTTAGTCCTTGATATGCCAGATTTATCTTCTGTCTGGATTTTTGGGTCAAACTTTATAGAGGCTCCCCAGGGGCTTCCCTGCATTGTGCACAACCCTTCCCAAGAAGGTTTCCTAGACTTATGTTATGCAGATCTCAGACTGCTTATATATTTCCCTCTTTCAGTTAGGTTTCAATTTTCTATTCAGACTGTCACTCTGTTTCTCACAGATTTCCTGTTTGTCTACATTTCCATTTGTATCCTAGTTGCTAGATGACGATTTCTGTCTTCTTCCTGTGGTTTAAACATAACACCTTATGTCAGCTATTCATGAGCTTTGAAGGAACTCTCCTCGCCTCCTTCTGCTGAGGTACTGCTCCTTCTTGGATTTACCCTTCCTTCCATTCTAGGTTTTGGCTTTTACCTCACCTTCTTTCACTATTGCTTGCTGTTGGTCTTTGTTGTTTCCACATGTTTGCTTTTGGTGGTTGTTTAGTAGTCCTCCATTCTACTTGAGGTCTATACTTTTCTATGGCAGTCTTCCCCCAGTGGTGTACCTGACCTGTCTTGGCAACTACTTCAGCCAACTTCTTGGCTTCGATTGGATTTTTGGCTGTTACCTATCCCTCAATTGCATTGCTTGGGGATGTCCCATATGTCTGTGAATATCCTCATTCCTGTGTAGTTCAATAGACAATAAAGAAACTATGATTTTTGTTGTTACTGTAAAATATTTTTCTTAGAGTCCATTGAGTGACACAGGCATCCATCTGTGCCTTGGCTCTATTTACTGCTTGCTTGCAAACCTGAGGCATGACAATTTAGGGTTGGGGGTATGGTGGATAGACCTTCAATTTTTTTTTTGTTTGCCAGTCTTAACCTCATAAAAGAAACTGCACAACCCATATGTCCAGTGGCGGAACAATCGCCATAGCGACCCAGACGGCCGCTATGGGGCCTGGGGCACAGGGGGGCCCGGCCAGCACATCCCTCTGAAGCTGTGCGGGCCACCTGGGTCGCTAATGCATATCAGGCTGCTGGCTGTCACTGGCGGCTGTGAGGGGGAACACACAGCTGTCCAGATCACTGACAACCTGTGCAGCGGCGCATTCCTCCTCACAGCTGCTGCTGAATTAGTGGCAGCCAGCAGCTGCAGAGGAGAAGGCTGGGCCCGGAGTCGGCAGTGAGGGAGGATTTGGGGACCCGGCAGCGACCGTGGAGGAGGCGGACAGCGGATCGGGGCTGACAGGTAAGAGGGTTTGACCAGCTCACCTGAGACCCTGCAGAGCCCACCATAGGGAGTCTATGGTGGGCTCTGCAGGGTCACTTTCAGGTGGGCTGTTTGGGATATCAGGTGGGTGTAACTCGAAACCACAGGGCCCCATATAAAATTTTGCTATGGGGCCCTGTGATTTCTAGTTACTCCCCTGCACATGTCTCTCAATATCCTAATCCTTGTGTCTCGCAATTTGCTCCAAAAAATATATTTTATGATAAGAACAAATATTTTATTTTAATTCAGTGTGTTGTGCTTTTGTCTTTAAGTTGAACAGGTACATGACCCAATGGACCCTTATGTGAGTTCACTGGAGACATAAGTAGTTAATTTATTAAATCTGGCACCTTCTTAAAACCTGTGAGGTGAGGAAGAATCTAGTGCCCAGGGCATTGGGCAGACCAATGCAATCAATTGCTGTTCACCCCATTGACCAGATGCACATTTAGAACCATGGTGTAGTGCAAACATGTTTTAATATTATAGAGCCATTTATTCCAAACTGCATACAGTTGTATCAGGGTCTTTAGCCATCGTCAGTGAAGTGTATGGATACCATAGCTTCTATGGAGTAGGGCTGGGAACCCAATAAAACAGTATAACATATAGATTATGCTGAGAAGGGACTAAAGCAAACAAAAAGTCCTCACTTTGGTATGCTGTTTAGAATAAATATCTCTATAACATTAGGCCACATTTTTACTATATACCAGTGGTTCTGGATGTGCATCTGGCCAATTGGGTGTAAAGCAATGAATTGCATGGCTCCGCCCAAAGTCCTGATATGAGAGAGAAACCTCTTATTTTTGGTATATGTGATTGATGAAATATATGAATAGGTTTTGTTTTAGAGAAGGCTTTATTGTGCTATGCACTGATTAGAGTGAAGACTTTTGATTCCTTTATTATTAATACTATACAGGATTTATATAGTGCAAACAGTTGTCGCAGCACTTTACAATATAAGGAAGGCATTACAATCACAATTTAATTCAAGACAAGATGGGAAGGAGGGCCCTGCCCGTGAGGGCTTTAGTCCCTTCTCACCGTAACCTGTATGGTAATACTGTCCCGTGAGTCTCAAGCCCATCTCCATAGAAGCCATGGTTTACTATTTACATACACCGCACTATTTGAATATTATTATTATTCAGGATTTATATAGCATCAACAGTTTGTGCAATGCTTTAGACAGTACAGTTACAATACAATTTTATTCAGGAGGTGGGAGGGCCCTGCGCATGAGAGCTTACAATCTAGTAGGAAAGGCAAGTGATACAACAGGTAATAATTGTGTGGGATTAGTTGATGGAAGTAGCAAAGAGACAATTATCATGTTGAGGTGGGATAGCAGTATCCTGAATGAGGTGGCAGGCCCTGGATTCTTTTGTTTTGTGCTACACCTCAGGCTTCATGCTGCTGTTTGAATGTAAATGTATTTGTATGATTGGACTATATTGCTATGTAGTGTTCTATTCCGCTGTGCTGCAGAACATAGTGGATTTTTCCCCCGAAAGGTATATATTTTTTTTATATAAAGAATATAAAAAAAAAAAAATCTGCATTCAGTTTGGAATAAATGGCTCTATCATTTTGGGTTCTAGTAATAAATGGTTGTATAATGTTAGGCTATATTCGCACTGTACACCAGTTCTTCTTGTGCGTTTGGCCAATGACATTCCCTGCAGTAACCGAGCCATTACCAGACATGACCACGAGGGGGCGCCTATCCATAATGCCAATAGAGCCAGTGCGATTCGTTTGATTTGTGGGCTATTACTGTTTGCCAGTCCCCACCCTGTGATGTGACAAGGAGGGGAGGAGGGAAAAAGCAGGTTAAGAGTCATCTACATAGTGAGGCAGATCTGACAATATACACGTTAACAGGCTCTGAGACAACGCCACTCCTCCTTTACAAGGACATCAACTCATTCAGAATCAGGGAAAACAGACATATCCACAGACAATAGCTGGATCCCCTCCCTGTGTACTGAGGCTGCTGGGAAAGATTTGCGGCGAGGAAGTGCATCTTTTTTTTTAATCATCTGCCATTGCGTTATTATTATATCTGCGGAGGTGATCATCCGGCTTTATTCTGACAGCCTCCTCTTATGGAGGGGGGCAGCCAAGTATGTCTAGCTGCCCCTCTGAGTGGAGGTGCAGGGATCGGGGCTGCCAGCTCCACCGGCTCGCTCTCTACACTCACCTCCAGCATTGAGGCGGTGTCCCCGCTGTCTGCACATTGGGGGGCTCCAAAGAAACCTTGTCATCATGCGGGTACCCTGAATCGGGGGTGATCTAGGATGTCCCGATGCACCAGACTTGGTTTTTTTCTCGAACCATGATGCATCATCGCTGACACCCTCTCTCCGTAATAATGATGATGGCAGCAGCAGCAGCAGGCAAGGATGTCTACAACAACAGCTGTGACCTGAAGACCGCTAGGCTATGGAGGGATGCCGCCCTGCGCTCCAGGAAGCTGCGGAGCAGCCTTCGCCAGCTCACCCTGAGCTGCGGGGAGCAGGACAAGCTCATTCTTCCCGAGGACCTGGGGGATGTGGAGGTGCTTAACCTAGGCAACAACTCCCTGGAGGAGGTACCCGACGAGCTGCGGAGCCTGTCCGCGGGCAATCTGCACGTCCTCATCCTGCGCAGGAACAAGTTCCTCAATGTGCCCTCGGCTGTCTACGAACTGGGCAGGTTGACCGAGCTGGACATGAGTCACAACCAACTGGGCTGCCTGACCGAAGCCGTGGGCTTACTGAGCCAGCTGAAGAAGCTGTGCCTAAGCCACAACAAGTTGCAGACCCTGCCCCGGCAGATTGGCTCCTTGGGGCATCTTGAGGAGCTGGATGTGAGCTTCAACCGCATCAACCAGCTACCTGACACTATGCAGGGGCTTCCCCGCCTTAGAGTCCTGGATCTGGACCACAACGAGCTGTGCAGCTTCCCTCAGCAGCTCCTGCATCTCCCTGCCCTGGAGGAGCTGGACTTCTCTGGCAACAAAATGCTTGGCAGCGACTGCGGAGGCTCCCTGCCCAATGGCATCAGGACCATGAAGCTATTGAAGGTCTTGTGGCTGAGCAGCACTGGGCTTTTCTCCTTACCAGACTCCTTCTGTAGCTTAGTCAGCTTGGAAAGCCTCATGCTGGACAACAATAACCTCTGCTCATTGCCCGATGGCTTTGGGGATCTACAAAAGCTGAGGATGATCAACCTGTCTTCAAACGCCTTTCAGGAATTTCCAAAGGCCCTGCTTCAAATGCAGGACATGGAGGAGCTGTACATGAGTCGTAACAAGCTGACGGTGGTACCAGAAGGCATCTCCAGCTTGTTCAGGCTAGTTACCTTGTGGTTGGATAACAACAAAATAAGGTACCTGCCTGACACAATAGTGGAGCTTGGCTTGCTGGAAGAGCTTGTGTTGCAAGGTAACCAAATAGCAATTCTCCCAGACAACTTTGGGAAACTCTCCAAAGTCAACATCTGGAAGATAAAAGACAATCCTTTGATTCAGCCTCCTTATGAGGTTTGCATGAAAGGGATCCCTTACATTGCTGCATATCAGAAAGAACTAGCCAATTCACAGCCTGCAGTAAAGCCTAGGTTAAAGCTAGTCCTCTCAGGCCAGAAGGATGCTGGCAAAACTATCCTCAGACATTGCCTCACTGACGGTCAGCAAAGCAGCTGTACACTGGGAAATACAGGGATTGAGGTCACTAACTGGACAGCCGACGTAGAACGGGGACTTACTTTTATTGTGTATGAATTAGCAGGGGACCAGAGCTATGACATAATCAACCCTTTCTTCCTCTCCCCTGGTGCTCTGTATATTCTTGTTGTTAATTTAAAGGCCTATGTTTCTAAACATTTTTATACATTTGTAGGCTATTTTCTACATTTGATCAGTGCCAAGGTACCACATGCAGTTGTATGCATAGTAGGGACTCATACAGACTTATGCGAAGAAAAGGAGATCGAGGAAAAATGCCTTGATATACACCACCAGATTTCCTTGCAGGAAAAGAAGGATACGGAGTCCCTACAAAATCTGGCACAGACTGTTGATGAAGCCCTTAGCCAAAATTATGACATGCGTGTATCAAATCCTCATGCAGCTTTTTACGGTGTTAGTGATAAGAATCTGAGGAGGAAGAAAGCCCAGTTGCAATATTTATTGAATAATCGTCTCCAGATTCTCTCACCTGTCCTCTGTGTCAGCTGCCACGATTATTCAAACATTAGGCGCTTGCGGGACAAACTCCTTTCTGTGGCCGAACACAGGGAGATTTTCCCAAACTTGCATAGAGTTCTTCCCAAATCCTGGCAAATGCTGGAAGAATTGCACTTTAAACCTCAGGAGCTCTGGTTGACCTGGTGGGATTCGGCAAGGCTAGGCCTACAAGCGGGGCTGACTGAGGACCGGCTGCAGAGTGCCCTGTCTTACTTGCATGAGAGTGGGAAGTTGCTCTATTTTGAAGACAACGTGACTCTTAAAGAGTATGTTTTTCATAATCTGACAAAACTGATTGACATTTTGAATGTCTTTTTCCAGAGAGATGCATCTGTCTTACTACAAAAGCTAATGAGCGACTCTAAGGTAGATGAGTTGAGGGCCACACAGCTCCATCATTATGTAGAGGGGTTTCTTCTTCATGGACTTTTGCCCACTCATGTCATTAAACTACTACTCAAACCACATATCAAAACCCAACAAGACTTGCAGCTGATTCTTGAACTTTTGGAAAAGATGGGCCTGTGTTACTGTATCAATAAATCCAAATCCAGACCTTTAAATGGGGCCACGGCTTGGTTTAAATTCCCTTGCTATGTGAAGAATGAAGTACCTCATGCAGAGGCCTGGATCAATGGTACCAACATATCAGGACAATCTCTAGCAGTAGAACAGCTACAGATCGAATACAGCTTTCCCTTTATATTTCCTCCTGGCTTGTTTGCACGCTTTAGTGTTCACATTAATAATCATGTTGTGCATCGCTCAGATGGCAAATTCCAGATCTTTGCCTATAGGGGAAAAGTGCCAGTTGTAGTGAGCTTTCGACCTTCCAGAGGAGCCTTACAGTCCGACGTTTTGTCTATTGCCAGCCATGCTTCGTTGCCTAACATATGGACTGCATGGCAAGCTATAACACCCTTGGTTGAAGAACTGAATGCACTATTACAAGAATGGCCCGGCCTTTACTACACAGTACATGTTCTATGTTCCAAGTGCCTTAAAAGGGGGTCACCCAATCCACACACCTTCCCAGGTAAGTTTAATGTCACTTGTACAGAATAAGCCTATGTGTATGAACTGTCTTCTTTGCATTTCAAGATATCATTGTTGTTTATAACATTTTATCAATGTAATTGATTTCTATCTAAGTATATTTTTGTACTGAACAGTTATAGAAGAACTCTGGGTATAAAATGTATTAATTAACCAAAAATGAGTACCTAACCCTTGCAGTAGGGAGTAGCCCCACTGCAAGGGTTAAGTAGTCAATTGCCCTCACTTCCTACACACTGTTTATAGAACGTGATGACTCAGGGACCTTAGACTGCGGCAGCCGATGGGGAGACTGCAAGGGTTAATAACATTTTTACCCAGATTTCTTCTTTAAAATATGACAACTTGAAAGGTATATTCATGTTTATTGAAAAATAAGAATGCCAGAGAAAGAATGTCCATAGTGGCTTATGGAGTAAGTAGCTCACAGCATGCAGACAGAGTTCACTTTCACTTATCTGGCCATGCCATCATTATTTATCCTGCAGGCTACTGTTTTACTTAAAACACTGTGTAGTGTCTCTACTTTGTAGTGTCTGTACATGACCCCAATGTTAAATGTTGAGAAAAATATGGAGGTCGTTGCTGACTTTCTCAAAATGCTAGTTCTCTGGCTGTCATGCTGACCCAGTGGCATCGGTACTTAGAGTTACTAACCGTAAACTAAAATGCAGATCAGGGTCATTTTTACTTCACTCAAATGTTATTTGCTGCATGCTCGTTATGGCACAATGAAGTTAGGACTTTCAAAAGGGAAGGTCAGTATCAGTCTCCATGTTTTTGCTCAGCAACTATTTTGGAACTCAAAGGAGCTGATTTATGAATCAATGTGGCATTACGAGCGAAGAACATGGGAAACTCCTATTCTTCTGTAGCTCCACCTAGCGGCTGTAATGCCATGCAAACAGCATTCCTCAGCTGTGCGCTTAGGTGAAGCCTTTGTACACCCTCCCCAAGGAGTCACGTAGCTTAATTTGTAAAGCAATAACAGTTGTTATTTGTCATATTTATCGTTATTTTTAGCAAATGAATGCAAAAAAAAAAAAGTCACATGGATGAAAATGACTGTTTTGGCAAATAATTAGGGGGATTGATCAACATTGGAGCAGACACATTCTGGAGCTGTTGCCCATAGTAACTAATCGGCATCTATCTTTCATTTTTAAAACTTTACTGAAAATAGAAGTTGATGGTTACCATGGGCAACTGTTCCAGATTCTGTCTGCTCCACTTTTGATCAATTTTCCCCCAAAGTGTTTTAGGCCCTTTCACACAGGCTTATCAGGAGGGGACTGTCTATGGATTCCATCCTGATTAGAGCAGTATGGATTGGATGTCACTGCTGTGACATCCATGTCCGTCCGGTTTTTACCTACATCTTGCGATGGAGGAAAGAACTAAAACTGCCGGACCCAATGTTGGTCTGTGGGGAGTCGAATGGAAATGAATATGTGTTAATTCACATCAGATTACCCCCGATCTGGCATGATCAGATCCGGTGAAATGGAACTCTGTTTCCTTTGTTGTTCCGGACCTGGCCGGAGTCAGGGGGAACCGGATGTAAATGGATGCCCGTCCATTTACACCCGGCTGCCCACAGACTAGCATCCGATCGGGTCCACTTGCAAAACTGACAGGTGGACCCGACCGGACCGCCCATGTGAGTTTTTAGTTTAGTGACAAGAAGATAAAGTCAGTTTTTAATAAAGAAGTTTGCAGATGCAACATTGTTTAGTTATTTTGTTTAATTCTGTGTATAAAATATGTATCTGTGTATAACATGAGTCGTAAGGTGCCCATACACCTTATGAATATCGTCCGATTTTCGTATGCGATTGCGTTTCCGTCTGATATTCGTAAGGTTGATGGGCAGTGTACAACCGCAAATACTGTACAATCGATCGACTTTTGACTAACCAGCAGGTTAGAAAACTTCGATCGATCGTATGACTTTCGCAAGGCTGGTGGCGTTTCCGTATGTCAAAATTCGTACGACCTACACTGCACATGTGCAGATACGTGCGGTCGATTACTGCAATTCGTTCAGGTGCTTTCTTTTAATTACCGCTGATCCAACCTTGCGATAATCGGGGCAGGAGGGGGCCGGCATACGAAAATCATACGACGGTTCGATCATCGGACAAAAAGTATAGTCCGATGATCGCAAGGTGTATGGGCAGCTTTAGGCCCTATTCAAGCATGAGCGTAGCCAGGCGATTTTGAGGCTTCTTTTGGCTTGGTTGTATGTGCATTGTTTGTGCATTTATATGCACAATTGTAGTACTGGAGCAGAATCATGCGTTTTGACCCCACAGACCTTTAAATGGGAGCACCTTAAAAACATTTTTTAGATGTTCCCATTAACGTCTGTGGTGCCAAAAATGCTCAATCCTTCCCCAAAAGAAGCTCCTGTATTCCTCTTGTTGAATGTTGTTGCCCTCAGGGAAAGGAGCTGTGAAGAAAGCTTAGGTGTGAAAAAGGCTTTACATTTCTATTCATTTTCACTGAACCATAAATGTTGTGTTTAGATATGACTGGTAAGTTCCTAAGTCTCAATTCATGACGCTTTGTACAAGGATAAGCTATTCATTATCAGTCACGTGACTGTCACTTTCAAAGAACTTTCACTTCTTTTGAAAAAAAGGAACCTTACCCTGGTATTAACGTTGTCGAGTAAGTCTGTTGTTATAATTTTTTCAGAGCGGCTGTGTGTATGATTTAGAAATCTGAGAAAATACTTTAGAGAAAAAGAGAAAGAAAAAAAGGTGATGGTTATTAATCTAAAGAAGAACTCCAGGGGAAAAAAATCTTCACCCATGCAATGGGGCTACTTCTGCACTGCAAGGGTTAACTGCTCATTTGTGTCTAGGTGCTAAAAAAAAAATAAGTTATACTCACCCAATCCTTGGATCTAGCCGGGTGCGACAGCACTCCCTCCGGCCTCTCTCCTCCTCCGCTGCAGCGATGGTACGTCGCTCAACACTGTATAGAACATGATCACTCAAAGATTCTTCTGTAGTGGAACGGGAGTGAGGCTTCAGGGACCATAACTAGACACCAGTGTGAGTATAACTTTTTTTTTAACCTAGACACAAACGAGCCCTTAACCCCAGGCACAAAAACGTTCACTGAAATATATTCCTCAATAAGCCACAAATGATATGTCTGTTTTGTGTGTACCAGATGCCTTTGCAAAGCCAGATAATAGCTTGTAAACGTAGCAGTGACATCACCACTGTGCTGTACGTAGTCTGCGCACAGAGGAGGAACTGTAGGAAAAACCCAGCATGCCACACCCACTGGAGGCTGCCTGGATAAAGCTACTGGAAAGGGGCGGACACATGACCAGTCATCCTGCACTAGCAGATAGAGCAGCAGTGATTGGTCATTATTGCAGCAACCTTCTGCACAGAGGCAAAGTTTCGTATTTGATTACCTTACAGATCTAGAAGAGCACACCAACATTCACGTGAGAATACACATGCCCAAAATTTGCTTCTCCCAGAGTTCAGCAATGACCACAGAATTTTTAAGAATTGCTTTAAAGAAGAACTATGAGATGAGTGATTTCCACTCACTTCATAGTTCTAGCCGACCTGTGACAATGAGACTGTCACAGGTCGGCCTCTAGATAGGCAGAGCCAGCTGTCAGTCACGCAGCTGGGCGGATCTCGACATCGATGTCGGGATCCGCTCCGGCTGCGGCGTCTCAGTATACCGTGAGCTGTAGCTCATGGTATACTGAGCTTAGGGTAACGGGAGGACGCTAGGAGAATTATGAGGCAAGTGATTTTCACTCAGCCTCATAATCTGAGCCGGCCTGTGACAATGAAACTGCCACAGGTCGGCTCAGTAGATCGGGAAGTGAGCGAACACATACCGGCGCTCGCTCACGTCTCGATCTATCCGTGCATCTATCCCCTGACTGTCACTCACAGCTCCCTGCAGGGATCCCCTCCTGCCCTGTCCGATCCTCCAGTGCTGACTGGCAGAACTGACGGGGGAGGGGCGGGTACAGCTGGCTCTGCCTCTAGATAGGAAGAGCCCGTTGTCACTCACGCAGCTGGGTGGATCCAGACAGAATTGTCGGATCCGCTCCGGCTGCGGCATCTCAGTATACCGCAAGCTGTGGCTCGCGGTATACTAGCTTTGGGTGACGGGAGGACGCTAGTTTGTGTCCTCCCGTTACCCTTAGGAGAACTATGGGGAAAACCCCCTAACCCCATTGTTCTCCTTTAACTCCAGTGCAATGGTGTTAATTGTGTCTGTATAGCTAGAGCTATTTTCAGGTCTAAACTGAGGCCAGATGCAACACTGATGCATTTGGAGTGTATGGAACAGTTCACACCACAAACAGTGCATTCCAGAGCGGTCAGCCTATGGAACGCACTGTATCACAAACCGGACGGTTCCCTGTGTTCAGGGAGTGGAGGGGGTGTGGCGGTGCATTGACGTCAAAGCCCCCTGCCCGCAGTGCAATCACCTGCACCAGAAGGCGTGGCACATTTGTGCCTGTGTTCCAGTACAGTGCGATCTGCAAAAATGCTGCAAGCACTATTTTTGCAGATCGCACTGGACCAGAACGCAGGCACCGATGTGCCACGCGTTCGGGTGCAGGTGATGGCACTGTGGGCAGGGGGCGTGGCTGCTGTACCCCCTCCCACCCCTGAACGCAGGGAGTCGGCCGTGTTGCGATACAGTGCGTTCCAGAGGCTGACCACTCTAGAACGCACTGTTTGTAATGTGCCTATAAGGCACCTGTAATGGCTGTGATGATGTACTGTATGTTTAAACCACTGGGATAGCCAGCAATGGTAAATACACATGTATCCTTTTATGGCAAGTTGACTGGACTTATGAACAGCTGCGTGTCTTCTAAATAGCATCTTTTAAGCATCTTCTAAATGCATTCCCTCTTTTGAGGTCAATGACACTAGGGGCATTATACTAGGACACAGAGGAGTTTCTTTTGTATATGTT